ACTGTAGTATATTGCTATTTGATGAAGCCATATTTATTTAATTTATTTTGAGGAAGTTTTGAAAACTTTAAATTTTACCCGGAGGAAATTTGAACAGGTTTTGCAACTCTGGTGGAAATATGTTGACGATACAACAACCTCCGAAGTTGTAAAGTAAGGAAATAAGAGCAACGCCCAACTTATATAGTTGACAGAGTAACTCATTGGTCCACGGTAAATAGAGTAAAATTAAATAGTGACAAGTGCAAGGAACTAAGAATTTCCTTTGCGAAAGATCAACCAGATTTTCATCCGATTGTTATTGTTTTCATCCGATTGTTATAAGTTGTAAAGAGTATGAAGTTGCTCGGCGTAAAGCTAACAACTAACCTTCTGAGGAATGATCATATCAATGACACAATTAAAAAAGCTTCAAAACGATTATATTTCCTTATCCAATTGAAAAGAGAAAAATAACCACCGAAAGATTTAGTTCTCTTCTATATAACGTGTATTAGATCTGTCCTAACTTATGCAATTCCTGTGTTTTTTGATGGGTTGCCAAAGTACCTGAAACCGTTGAATTAGAACGCGTTCAGAAAAGGGCTTTTTCGATTATTAGTCCAAACATTGCTTACATTCAGGCCTTGCAAGAAGCGAGCATTCCGACCATAATTGATTATAGTAAACTAGTGTGTGATAAAGTATTTTATTCCATTGTTAATGATAGTGAAAACAAACCTTTTAAATTACTTTCTGCTTCAAATAACGTTCCGTATGACTTACTTACGAGAAAACAGAATTTTATAATTCCGGAATGTAAAACTAATCGTTGCAGGAACACTAATATAATGTCAAATTGTATTAAAAATAACTATAGTTAATTAATTATTCATATTTTATGTTTTGTAAATATACTTAGTCTTAACTATATTTCATTTATAGCATTTTAAATTTGATATCTAAGAAAAATATTTGTTAATTAGTTTTCCAAATTTTTAAATATGCAATTCAGCTTTCGGGCTGTCACATATTTGTAATAAACTATTTTATCTATCTATCTATCTATCTATCTATCTATCTATCTATCTATCTATCTATCTATCTATCTATCTATCTATCTATCTATCTATCTATCTATCTATCAAACACATTAAGATGGGACCATGCGTTCGGTGGGCGGAACTCAGAATGTGTAGTTTTTGTGCAGGCGTTATTTCAAGCTGCCCGTTCTCTTTTGCCGCGAATACCGCCTGCTACGCAAGCTATAGAAATTTAGCAAACCCAAATAGACATACAGCCAAGGAAAAGTTGGAAAGTTCAGCACTTCAACCGCGTATTCAGCTGCGATAAAATAAATTCTGCATATATTATTGTCATATACTATTCATGCTCTCTATTTCATATGAAATTTATTCTTGCGTTTGCTTCATCGGGATAGCTTCATATACTGTTTGTTGCGACATGTTGTGCTTGTCATGAAGTATTGAGATGCTGTTCGCAGGCGCGAGAAGTTTCTTACGTTTTATAAACCTTTTTGTTTTGAAGAATATTTTTCACTTGAATTGTTACAGAATATCAAAGTAAAGACGTATTCAAGACTGTGTTTAGTGTGTTTTTAATATATATATATATATATATATATATATATATATATATATATATATATATATATATATATATATATATATATATATATATATTTATATATATATATATTTATATATATATATATATATATTGCGCAATTTCTGTTGTGATTACAACATTATTCAAGATAACTACTTCGCGTAAGCTCAGTGAAATGTCGAAAAGAGAGAGGTCAGAAGGCCCTGGGCTTAGAGATGAGGATGTGTGCTTGTCTGCAGAGTCTGTTGACAGAGAATTAGTGGGGGTAAATTGGAGCACTTAATTTGTCAAAAGCGGCATGTATAGAGGGCTTAACCTTATTGTACAAAAATGTTGAAGTGCGACTAGCTAATGATGCACCCAAAGAGGAGCTGAACTGTTATCTAGGAAAATTAAGTGTTTCATTTGCTTATTTTCAAACTGTTCACCTGGATTATTGTCAAGATTTGAGGCCCTGCATTTGTAGAGCAAGCAGTTGCGACAGAAACTTTATATAGTCAGCAGGCTACATAATACCATGAGAGGGGAAGCGGAAAGAGAAATGTTCGATGTAAGACCCGAGGACTCGGTGAGCAGAGCCGGATAACGGGAAGTAGCAGGTCGTCTCTGGGCTCAGTACCAAGATCTGCCTCAAGTTCCCAGAACAGAAGAGTTTTTTTTTTTTATTTTTTTTTTTTTTATTAGTTTTACAATAAGAAATTGAAGGCACAGACAACAGGACTAATAAAGTCCCAAATTAAGTCCTGCCATAAGCAAGCAGTAGTTCGGTCAAAAATGAAACAGTTAAGGTGGCTCGATACAGCTCAAAAATTCAGGTGTTCAACATTTTGACATGTTCAAACTATGCATTTTTAGGGCTTTATTCAGCAGATATTGGTTTTTTTTTATATATTTTGATAACTCTACTTTCAAATTACATATTAGTTTTAGTAACAAATAGTTCGTTGCTATGACGACATACGTGTACGAAATTTACTCCCAAATGGCCTTTCGTCTCGCACCGTTGGAAAAGAAGCACGGTGAGCCCCATTTTTTTCGTGCATTACTTTACTTGGACGAAAAGCTAACAATTAGCGAAATATAAAAAAAATCTGTAATGTCATTTTTTTGGAAAATGCGAGAATGTCAGATTCTTCGGTAAAATTTTTTGGCACTACGGGTTTTTTTTTGTATAATGAAAGTTTTTAGGGGTGCAATACAGCATGCAAAATTTGAACATAGGTTACCGGACAAAATAAAGAGATATAGCGCATTTTTTTCTAAAATGGAAAATTCGAATGACGTCAGCAATAAAACGCTATAGAACACGAGCAATGGCGTGATATGGCGCGAGCAACTGCTCACGTCAGGTCATTTTGGAAGTTCTTTCGTTGTGTTAATAGACGGTTTTAGATAACAAGACGCGGACGTCAAGAGGACGTGAAAATGACGTATGCACCTCGCGTTCACTTTCGGGTTTTAATCTGGGACGGCTTGTTTGTCTTTTTCGAAGCAAATTTTTGTTTTCTTGTTACCTGTTCATCCTGTATTGTTTTCGATCAGTTGTCAAGATATGTGGAAGAAAAGCTATGTAATACTGGCCAAGTGTTTCCTGATGAATTAGTATGGACATTCAATAAGTTTTTTTAGAAAAAAAGTTATATTTCGGTATTTTGAAAAGTGAACTTTGTTGCATCATTTGGAATAAATACAACAGATGCAGGTATTGTTTACGAGCTAATTGTAGCATATTCAATCAAATTTGTCAACTGTTCAGTATAAATATAGCATCAGTGTTCATATTGGTAAAATTTAATACTGTTTACGATAGTTTTTCACGCTGGAAAACGTTTTTTTGCTTGTCCTACTTTTTGCACTGTTGAGTGTTGTGACAGGACAACTAAAATTGATTGAGTTTTTGCTGCTTTTAAGTGCTTTTATTTTTCTATTTTCCCACGTTTTCCTGATTTTAAACAGTTGTTAATATAACTTCAGTTTAGTTTGTTCTAAAATATTTGTTTTGGTGAAGATTACTAGCGGTATTGAAGTGGTTATTAACAATGCTTGCAGTTTTGTTGATTTGTTTATGGCGACCGAAAATATTTGTCGATTATCAACTCGTCTAAAATTTAGCGAAATACAAGAAAAACAACCTTGTCAATGGAAAAACTTTAGCTAGTATCATTAAACAATACATGGGGAACAAAATAGGATGATTTATATTATGCATAGGCTCATATTGTTTTCAAAAGAAGCAAAAATCTATGACGTTCTAGAGAGGACATGAAAATTGTATTTTCGCGTCGTGATATCGTCCAAGACGACGTCGCAAACCAGAATCTGACGATAGTTGGCGCCGAATGACGACATCCACGTCCTCTTGACGTCCGCGTCTTGTTATCTAAAACCGTCTATTCAGTTTCCGCGACCTGCGCGTGAAAATGGTCACCCGGTTTTGACTTTGCGATTTTTGAGCAGGGTTTTCGTGGGAACTATATCGAGCCACCTCAAACTAACGGCAAGAATTGCTCAAGCAAGAAGAAGAGATAAAAATGAATCGAGAAATGTTGGATATTCGGAATGAAATTGAACAAGCCGACTTAGAGGCCCAAATTATTGATAATGACGAGTGTGCAGATGCCTGCAATGTGTAAGGTTGATCGCAATCCCAAGGAATTTCTACAAAGGGACACCGAATTGAAGGACGTTTTTGTACAAGCATTGTCAGACCAACACAAAGCACCGAAAACAACATGATGAGAACTCACAGTAGTATCAACTTAGGTAAAACTGAAGAACAAATACATCCCATTGGATCCATGCTATTACCTAACGCTATTGTTAACAGGTTAACAGGTTTCCAGGTTAAAGGTGAATAACGACCACAATGATTTACAGCAGCTGGCTATGACGATCAGGGAAGGTTTTGTTCTTCCGAAGCCCGATTTACTAAAATTAGACGAGAATCCCTTATATTATTGGGGATTTATTAGATCCTTTGAGAACACAGTAGAGCGTAACACCTTCAATGAAAACGAGTGCGAATAACCCTATGTAGTAGTAGCAGCAGCAGCAGCAGCAGCAGCAGTAGCAGCAGTAGTAGTAGCAGGTTAAAGTTAGAAACATCACAAGCATAAGTCGGGACGACATAGAATTCCACTAGTTCTTTAGTTTGAACTTTTGCACGTTTCAACTGAGATAAAAAATAGCAACAGTAGCAGTAGCAGTAGGAGTAGCAGTAGCAGTAGCAGTAGCAGTAGGTTAAAGTTAAAAACTTCACAAGCATAAGTCGGGACGAATACACGTAACATAGAATTCCACAAGTTCTTTAGTTTGAACAACTGAGATAACAAATACAGGCGCTTTGATGCCTTTTTGATCTACGGATCATACCCGTTTAAGTTAAGAATAACATGGACGGGACAGTCATTGAGACTTACGCGTTCCTAGGTAGTTGGCCAGATGTCACCCTTTGCGACGAGCGGCTGGTGCAAGAGCTTGGGCTTCAAGGAACTGAAAAGAGCTTCTCATTAACGACCCAGGAGAAAAGGAACAGTCTTAAAAGGGGATTGGAAGTAGATTTGGTTGTCGAGGCGCTGGACGGGAGTGAGTCGTTTAACCTGCAAAACGTGTGGACAGTGAAGCAGCTTAACGTTTCCCAGAACAGTATCGCTACACCCAATGACATAAAAATGTGGCCACATTTAGAAGGTTCTATCTCCCATCTATCGAGAAAGAGGTGAGGATTCTCATATGAAGCAACGTTCCAGAGGCATTCTGGGTATTAGAAGAAAGACGAGGAGAAAAGGGAGAGCCTTATGCCATTCGATCTCCTTTAGGTTGTTCAGCGTTAGGCCCAGTGCAGACTGCTGGAATTGTTCAAGACAAGTTTCATGTTGACTTCATTCGAGATAGCAGCACAGGATATGAAAATGATGTCCTTTTGAATGAGCAGGTAAAGAAATTTTAGGAAACAGGTTTTGGTGATTCTATCTCCGACCCAAAATCTGGCATGTCTGTTGAAGATAAAAGGGCGTTGAGAATAATGGAAGACAGAATGGAACTAGTTGAAGGCCACTACCGACTGGGATTACCATGGCGACATAAACCACCTCGGCTTCAAAATAATCGGAAAATGGCACAGAGAAGGCTGGATTGTCTGAGGAGAAAGTTCGAAAAGGATCCGGAACTGTTCGAACGCTACAAAACGTCGATCAACGAATACATCGAAAAGGGATACGCGAAGAGAATTTCTGAAAAAAACAAAGGTCATGAATGCCAAAATACAACTTTCTATCTTCCTCAACACGCAGTGTGCAATCCCAACAAGCCAGGCAAGATCCGAGTAGTGTTTGACTATACCGATCAGTTCAATGGCACCTCCGTGAATGGCGAACTTCTTCCCGGACCAGATCAAACGAATAACCTTGTTGTGCTTACTAGATTTCGCGAACACCCTGTGGCATTGGTCGCCGATATTGAGGGAATGTTTCATCAGGTACGAGCGGGTCCTTACGGTCACGATGCTTTGAGGTTTCTAATTTGGTAGCCGAACGATGACCTATCAAAAGAACCTGTCGATTACTGTATGCAAGTACACCTTTTCGGAAGTACGACGTCCCCTAGTTGCCAAGTTTCTGCTTGAGGAAGACTGCCGATGACCACAAGGATAGATTTGACGAAGCAGTTAGCCATACCGTGAAACGAAGCCTTTAGGTCGACGACTGCTTAAAGAGTTTGGCTAACATTGAAGCTGCTAAAGCGATGGCGAAGGGTGGGTCTCGTCTCACGAAATGGCTGAGCAACACAAAGGATGTGATTCATAGTATCTATTATTATTCAAAGCATTCCTGGAAGCGAACGTGCTACTTCCGTTATAGACCTAGAATTAGACGACGAACTGCCGATTGAGCGACCGCTTGGTGCCCAGTGGCATGTTGAGCAAGACGCGTTCAGCTTTAAAATCGCGCCGAAGAAAAATCCGATAACCCGCCGAGGGTCGTTATTATTATTATTATTATTATTATTATAAACTTTATTTTGACACGGTAGAATCATCAGTAAAAATTTACATAATATAGATGTATATAAAGTATAGAAAAAGGAGAAAAAGGGAAAAAAAATACAAATGCTATTTACAAAAGACAGAACAGTACTGATTTACATGATTGCCGTGTGTGAATCTAAGCTAACCAACATTCTAGACCTCGTTTAAAAGCACTAAGAGATTGCGCCGAACGAAGTTCAGTTGGTAAACTATTCCATAAAACAGCTCCATCGTAGCTGAGTGAGCGCTTTAGATAATCTGTATGTGGCTTAGGGACAAATAATGTATTTTCATTGTTTCTCAATCTGTAAGGACAAGATCGCGAAATAAGTATGTCTTGTAGATATTCCGGTACCCTCTTGTTTATAGTTTTATACATAAGAATTGCTTTATGCTTTTTGCGATTAAGAGATAACTGGTGCCAGTTTAACTCCTGCAGTAAAGAATTCGAGGAGTTTTCATATGTGCTTTCCGTGATCATACGAGCAGCACGGTTTTGTAACTTTTGTAACTTACTGCTCAGCTCGCTGCCAATACCGTCCCAAACCGGGCAGCAGTAATTAAGGTAAGGCTCAATTAAGCCTTTGTACGCTTTCACTGCAGTTTCCCTGTTTACAAATCGCCTCACTCGTTTGAGGGCACCAATTCCTGAGGATACTTTTTTACAGATAGTATCAATATGGTTCTTCCAAGTTAAATTTTCATCAATTGTTACACCTAAGGATTTCGTGTACTGTACTCTTTTAATTTGAGTGTTATCTACGCATATATTAAGATTGTTAACATCATGGTACATCAGCCTCTGTCGAGAGCCAATGACCATGAATTCAGTTTTAGTAATATTTAAGCTTAATCTGTTCGCATTGAGCCAGGTGTTTAAACTACTCAGCTCGGTGTTCATAATTTCTTCAAGATCAGAAAGATTAGAGCTTTGAAAGCTAATATTTGTGTCATCCGCGTACATACTCGATAAGCCATTATTCAGGCAGTTTGGCAAGTCATTGATATAGACCAAGAATAAAAGGGGACCTATTATTGAACCTTGGGGGACACCGTAAGTGATTGGTCGATTACTAGATAGATGTCCATTTACACAACATCTTTGTGTACGATCGGTTAGATAAGAATGGAACCATGTTAATGCGTTTTCATCAACCCCGTATTGAGCAAGTTTATCCAAAAGAATTGCGTGATCAATAGTATCGAAAGCTTTTTTTAAGTCGATAAAAACTACACCATTGAGTAGTCCATTGTCGATATTTATCGACCACCTATTCGTTGTTTCGAGCAGTGCAGTGACCGTACTGTGCATTGTTCGGAATCCAGACTGACATTTATTCAGTAATTTATTGCACGTTAAATAGTAATCAAATTGGTCGTGAATAATACTTTCAAATAATTTTGCAACGGCTGAAATAATTGAGATTGGACGATAATTGTTGAGATCGTGTTTGGCACCATCTTTATGGATAGGTGTGACATTGGCGATTTTCCATTCTTTTGGGTATATGCTAGTGCAAAGTGATTTGTTAAATATATGCGTCAGGGAAGGGGATACAATATCCCTAGCTAACTTTAGTAATTTGCATGAAATGTTGTCGGGACCACTAGATTTTTTTGTGTTTATCCTTCCAAGCAAATCTTTAACATAGTTAATCTCAATTGTCTTGAAGGAAAACACACTATTTGTAGAGTTAATATAAGATATTGGATTGACATCAGTTATAGGAATACTTTTAGCCAGGTTTTCACCTATCTCGGTAAAATGTGTGTTAAATGCCTCAGCTATTTCATGCGTATCGGTTACTTCTGCACCATTAAAGTCAACTCTATTAACAGTAGAGCGTTTGCTAACATTACGAGAACTAAGTTGATTTATAAGATTCCAGGTTTTCTTCGGGTCATTTTTTGCTAAGTCAAGATTGGTACTGAAATAGTCACGTTTCAATTGTTTCAGATTGCTGTTCACTTCGTTCCTAGCTTTCTTATACAAATTCCAAGTAGAAATATCTTTAGTGGTTTCAAACTTCTTTTTAAAATAATCTCTTGAACGCATTTGTTGTAGTATATTAGGAGTGATCCAAGAAGATCGTTTTTTACCAATTCTAGTCTCCCTTATTGGGGCATGTTTATTCACTACGTTCATCAACATGTCAACCCAAACTCTCCACATGTCGTTTGGATCATCATAATTTTGAATAACATCCCAATTTAGCTGGGAAAGACCATCAAGGAAGTTTGTCTCATTAAAGTGTTTAAAATCTCTCCTTTTAATGGTCCTTCCTGTTGTCTTTGGGTATCCAGATTTGCGAATCATATAGACAAGTGAATGGTCACTTATACCCAGCGAGAGGACACCGGAAGAAGTCACTTTCTCTGGGTAATTAGTAATGCATAGGTCAATTAAGGTTTGTGAAACTGGTGTTATTCTAGTTGGTTCAGAGATTAATTGTGTCAGACCATAAGTGTCTAGGATATTTAACAAATCAGAAGTGTTTGCATCAGAGATTTGTGCAGTTAAATTACAATTTAGGTCTCCAAGAAAGTATAATTCAGAGTTTTCAGCATCGATTCGATCGATTGTGTTTTCAAATAGATTTAATAATTCTCTTGGAGAATTGGGTGGTCTATACCAAGTCGGTGTACGATCCCTTAGGACTGGTATCACCCGCGATTCTGCCAGCAAAGAAAATAATGCAAGAACGGGTAGTCTCCGACTAGACGCTGAGAACTCTGATCGTTGAAGCGGAAGGAATTCTAAATGGTAGCCCATTAACATCTGTAAGTGATCTTCCTTACGATTTATACGTACTGACACCAAACCACCTGTTGTTACTACGATCTAACCCGAACTTACCACCCGGGTTTTTTGAAAAATCCGACTGTTATTGCAAGAGGCGTTGGAACAAGTGCAGTACATGCCAGACCTTTTTTGGCAAGTGCAGTACATGCCATACCTTTTCTGGAAGATGTAGCTAAATGAGTATATGCTACTGTTGCAGGAGAGACGAAAGTACAACAAAATATGACGCAATTTGCATCCCGGGGACCTGGTGATGGTTGCTGAGGAGAACGTGCACCGAAGACAATGCCCGTTGGCCGGAGTCGTAGAAGTCCATACAGGCAAGGACAATCGAGTGAGATCGGCTAAGGTGAAGATGAGATCAACTATGTGGGTCGGAACCATTACGAAGCTATACTTTTTAGAGCAGTCTTCTGCATGATGACACGGAGTAAAATAATGTCGCAAGTATTGCAAGAAATTGCTGGTGAAGGAAAGTGGTTCTTTCGCAGGGGCGGGGATGTTGCGACAAGTGGTTGTCATGAAGTATTGGGATGTTTTTGGCAGGCGCGAGAAGTTTCTTACGTTTTATATACGTTTTTGTTTTGAATAATATTTTCACACTTCAAATGTTACAGAATATCGTGTCTATCTATTTAATTTGCTGCCGTTTTATTTATTGTTTATGTGGGCGAAATACAGTTATCATGGAATATAACATTCATATTCCATTTAATAGCAAAGGATACATTATTTATTATTTAGGCGATCGTTTGTATCGCGTATTAAGTTTATGTTCATTTTGTAGTTGAATCGTCGTCAAGGATTGAAATGTAAAGTAAAATGGCAGTTATATCATGGAAATAAAGACGTATTCAAGACTGTACTCAGTGTGTTCAATATATATATATTATATATATATATATATATATATATATATATATATATATATATATATATATATATATATATATATATATATATATATAAAATTTGGTTTTGTTGCTTATAAAAACGTATGGCAAAGTGCTCAATGGAAAACCAGAGCATATTTAAATTAAGGTACAACAAATCAACAAAATCCACTAGGCATCTTTATTACTAAATAGTTTCGTACCACAGTATGTGGCACTCTTCAGATAAATTGACCTAATGACTATAGACTAAAACTTACAAGGTTATATGTACAAGTGGATGAGACATGAAACTTAATCCTATTTACAAAGCCCAAAATGGCCACTTTAAACAAACGTAATGAGTTAGTATCGGCATGTAGGCATAATAAAAAAATCCTTTTAAGTAACATTTAAAAGCTAGACATTTAAATATACCGCAGTGTGTTAATCTTTCCGCGTCCTGTCAGCTTATCATATAACATGTTTATTAAATCGCGTGCTTTGTAAATAGGATTAGTTTCATGTCTCATCCACTTGTACATATAACCTAGCTTGTAAGTTTTAGTCTATAGTCATTAGGTCAATTTATCTGAAGAGTGCCACATACTGTGGTATGAAACTATTTACTAATAAAGATGCCTAGTGGATTTTGTTGATTTGTTGTACCTTAAGGTGGCTCCCTAGGGTTTTATTTCCGGGGGTTACGTTCTTCGTATATATGTAAACTAAACTCGTGTGACTTCAAAATACGAACGGACGTTGTGTTTTATATGGAACTCTTTTTTGAAACAAAAGTGTGAACTTTGCTTTAGTTGAAAGCATAAAAGAGTTCTAAAAGCCAAAACGATACTTGGATGTGATGTTTCAAAAGAAGATAATGTAAACTTGTTTTTTTTTCAAGCGGTATTCTGGATGTTTTTTGAACCGCCGTACGCGAGGTTCGATCGCGAACATTGGGATATGGTATAAAGTTTCCTCAAGAATTTGCAGTGTTTTCTCCACAATCTAGCAGCACTTATGACAATAAAGATTACTTAAATAATGAGCCCTCTACGGGTGAAATGAGCAGGGCCGAAACTCCAAACATACCGCTATAAAAACTGAAATTTGAACGGGCATTTTGCGAAAACATCCGACGATAGTACTAACTCGCACGGGACGAATTTTGACAAACATTTTTAAAATTAATACCAAGAAGTCATAACCAGTAATTATGTAAATATCTTTGCCATTTTTACATGTATAATCCACGCTTAGTTGACCATTAACCGACACAGTTATAAACAGTATATCGAACATAATTTATATTTTGTGATTTCAAAAAAGTCATGCCTTGTTGTTTTATGAAGAATGCATGTACACGTCAGTTGGGGTATTAAATTGTTCGCGTAAAAATCTAGTAAAAATTGCCAAAATTAAACCCAAATTTCTCCGTTTTCCTTCGGTAAAATTTTTTAAAACTTTGCACATTTTTTAATATCGGTACAACAAGTGCAATATCCTTTTTTCTTAAAATTAAATCGAAGGGAAAATGTTTAATATTCATTTTTGACGTTTTTTAAATTTTCTAAGAAACGTATCGATTTAATTTTTTTAAATTGAGGGAAAAAAATCATTATACAAGTATTATCTTTTATGCAAAGTTTTAAAGAATTTCACCGAAGGAACTTTTTAAAATGACATGATAAAGACAAATTTTGAGCTTTATTCTAAGCATGCTGTTGCCATGACAACATATTTTTAACACAAAAGTAGCAATTTGCAATGTTCAGGAGAACATTGTCAATGTGTCCAATAAATTTCGTTTTCATGTCATGTAAAGTAAAGAAACAGGAGTCTCCTGAATACTATAGTGTAGTAAATTAAAAAACCCTAGGGAGCCACCTTAATTTATATATATATATATATATATATATATATATATATATATATATATATATATATATATATATATATATATATATATATATATATATATAATGCAATTTCTGTTGTGATTACAACCCTGTTAGCCAAAGACAAATTATATAAACAAATTCAATGTGGCGGCACCTGGAGAAAAGTGAATAAAGGAATACCGAATGGTTTTCCGTGCAGGATTGCGTGATCCATGCACGCGGGATGTTGCGAGACTTTCGGAAAACGTAAAAATACACGAGCCGTAGGCGAGTGTATTTTTACGCTTTCCGAAAGTCGAGCAACATCCCAAGTGCATGGATCATGCTATCCTGCATGGGAAAACCATTCGGTAATTGTTTTATAAAATTACTACAGTGAAACGACGCTTGACTTGATTAAAATTACTGATGAAATGTGCAGTTCTCACATGGCTGTTGACCAATCAAATTGCGTGTTTCACTTGTAGTTATTATATAAAGTGTCTTACTAAATTTACCTTTTAAAAGGGTCAAATAGTGATTTCAGGATACATTAGTGGGCGATATAGTTATATAGAGCTATAGTTTCGTTGAAGGACTACTGCTTCATCAATAAGTATTATAGGTATCACGAACAGGGCCATAATATGACGAGCTTTCACTGGGGAAAAAATGAAAAATCCACGCTATGAAATTTGCAATTGCACCACTAAATCCTTAGTATATTCATATTATTTCTATACTATATCCATAGTATGGAAATATACATTTAAAATTGATACGGTAATCAAAATCCATTCTATTTCCAATAAAGGTCCATACAATTTCCATTCTATGGCCATATGAGTTTTAAATTCTTTTTCCAGTGTTTGTGAATCTTGAAAATGAAAGGATAAAGAGAGACGGCAATTGCATGGTTATTGGTATTTTATTCGTGTCCTAATATACCTGTATAGGAACTTCAAACTTTAAAATTAAAGTATTACTGTGTATCTTTCATATCAGGAAAGGATCTGTTGGCATCACATATCTAGCACTTTTTGACCCAACAACTATTGGACTTACGTCAAATAGCTTAAACTCAGAGTTGGAAGCACAGTTGAATACTGCAAACAAAGAGACATCCCTGGGACCATTTCAGCTTAAGAAGACGAGCTCAGGAAATGCTTTAACGTTTACTGGTGAGCACAGTTATATCTTAATGTGTTTGTAAAATTACTTAATAGTATGAATGTATGACTGAATAAATTAGTTTCGTTCAGATATCTTCAAATATTCGAAATAATGCTTATTAAAAGGACAATCACCTGAAAATATAGCCAACAGAAATATCAATAACAAACTTGTATCGATACGATCAAATATAGAGTGTGACCTGGGGACAAATATTAATCCAATTTTAAAGTTGGATGTATGGTAAATGATCACGAAATATTATGTAAATCTCTAAGGTTATCAAAAACATGCATGAAAGGATTATCATAATATCTGTATCGCAGTTAATGGCTGTGCAATATATATCACATTATGCCAACTTGGCTAATAGCTACACTTATGCTCATTGTCTACAGAACCCTAAAACAATTCCATATTTCTAATATTCACTTTACGATGCCAACCTCTATTGCAATGCCTTATATATGCATGTAGCTCACCGTATTAGGTAATTACTGTTTGGAAAGCACATCTTGATTCAATGAGAAACGTAGGCTACGAAACCAATATACTGCTGAAGATGCATGGGCTAATTTATTTTACCAGGACTGTGGTGTTAAATCCACGAACAGTATATAGACAAGGAACCTTCATTCCATACCATTATATTATAAAAAGCAACGTTACCAAAAATAAAACATCTTATTATATGGCAAGCATTTGTTTTGGTTAATGGGGTAATTTGATTGCCTGCTGACGAGGCACGATTTTCCCGTATTGCCTATACGGACAATACGAAAATTGCTTGCCCGGTGAGAAAAACAATTGCAAAAACTTTGAAACTCAGTAAAATATAATATGAATATTTCCTGGAAGGCAAATTTCATTGCCCATACATTTTTATACAAGAACTTCTGGTGAGAGCTCCGCAACTGTTTCTCTTTACCTCAGTTGATTACAGCGCTGAACGGGACTCACAGGGCCGAATGTTCGATTCTTGGAAGAGGAATGATTGTTTCGTTTTTTGCAACTGCTCCTGGTTAGGATTTATAAAGTGATAAAAATTCCATTTGTGATTTCCATCTACAAATACCTCGTACGATTAGTTGAAAACTTGATATAAATTTCATTTAGACGTGAACGAATGTCTCTCCAATTCAATATGCCATCCCAAAGCAAAATGTAACAACACAGAAGGATCTTATACATGCACATGTGATTCTGGATACAGTGGTGATGGATTTTCTTGCGATGGTATGCAAACAACCGAAATTGTAATTATTATATCAGTTAGAGGAACTAGAAACCAGATATGTGCATGGACAATGCAAAACCTCACATAAATTTCTTTTAGATGTGAATGAATGCCTCATAGACTCACCATGTCACACCAATGCCAAATGTAACAACACCGAAGGATCTTATTCATGTACATGCGATATTGGATACAGTGGTGATGGCTATTCCTGTGATGGTAAGAACGAAACTGAAACAGTAATTGTTATTTTATTTAAACATATTTTGTTACAGACATTTTCTCCAAGAGCATCTCTCATCAAGGGAGATTATGTCAGATTATTTACAAAGTTAGTTACATCAAAACAAAAAGGATTACATCAAAAAGAATTACATCAAAGCAAAGATCAAATAATCATAGTGTGGAAGAACAACTGGTATTCATTCTCAACTTCTCTAATATTATTATTAGAAATTTATATGGAAGAATTTACCACACCATTGTTTTACAAAACAAGTTTAAAAAGAGTTATTCGGCCTGAAACAGCTTTGCATTTAGAATAAATAATTGGACATTTTGCATTCATTTCACATTATCTTCATGCCCAAGATTTTCCGATCCATCTAAAAGTATTCCAATATTCCGATTATCTGATAAATTCATCCACATAGGATGGAGCAGCCGCGCAGGAAGTGAGAGCAATTGTTCACGTTGGGCAGCAAATCGAGAACAATATAAAAAGTAATGTTCAACAGTTTCCATTTCACCTCATCGACATTCACAAAAAGGTGAATTTGCACAATTATTTCTATATAAGTGAAAATTAAGCGCACAGTTACCAAGCCTGAGTCTGGTATCCAGTATTGAGCTATACCTATATTTAGTGATGCATAGTACTTTGCGTTATATATATTTTTGTCCACAGTACATATAATACATGAAGTAATTTTAAAAGGAAGACAGCGTTTCTAAATATCGCAAATCCTGATCAAGATCATTCCAAGCAGTTATTGCCGATGGAAGGAATGATTTTTTAAATCGTTCAGTTTTCAGAAATATATTAGCTAAATTATCGTTAGATCGTTCTTTCAATAGACGATTTCTATTTGTTCCCCTTATTGCACCACTAAAAATGCGAGCTGATTCGTACTGACTGCTTCTAAACGATTTGCTTCCTCTATACTACATCCATCCCATATTACATCTACATATTCCATTAAAGGTCTAATCAGACTTTTATATAAGCATATCAGTGTTGACATATTAAGATTATATTTAACCCTTTTTAGTATATATATATATATATATATATATATATATATATATATATATATATATATATATATATATATATATATATATATATATATATATATATATAAATAAATCACAAACTAAACTTTTTTATTACAACATTTATTCTAATCCAACGTTTCGGGGCATGCCCCTTCATCAAGGATGAATAACGAAGTCAATGGCCTAACGTCCTTTATATAACCCTATTAATTATATACAACAATTAATCAAAATCTCTCATATAGGGGATCTATGAGAGATTTTGATTAATTGATGTATAAAATTAATAGGGTCATATAAAGGACATTAGGCCATTGACTTCGTTATTCATCCTTGATGAAGGGGCATGCCCCGAAACGTTGGATTAGAATAAATGTTGTAATAAAAAAGTTTAGTTTCTGATTTATTTATATTAATATGTTATTGAACTTGATCGGAGAAGTGTTGTTGATTCACTATACATATATATATATATATATATATATATATATATATATATATATATATATATATATATATATATATATATATATATATATATATATATATATATATATATATATATATATATATATATATATATATATATATATATATATATATATATATATATATATATATATATATATATATATATATATATATATATATATATATATATATATATATATATATATATATATACAGGGTGTATCAAAATAAACGCAATTCATCTTTTGTGCTTAATAACTTTCGAAATACGATATCTAGTTAAACGCTTTTAGGCTTACTTCAAAGCCTGTTCTTTTCTCTTTCAAACAAACTATTATTCTTGTCTCCAATGCTAGTAATAATTGCACAGGAAAAGATTTAGTAAAACCTATCATTTTTAGTTGCTGTTTAATTATGCAAGTTTACTATGTCATTGTTTAGTCGGTTTAAATGTTAGAATTTTCTTCTTTAAACTTTAATGTTGTCGTCACTGCATCTGGAAAACCACGTGAGAACAAATTAAAAGTATTTTAAAAGAGACCAGGTTGTTTGAAAATCCTAAACGAATGCTAAAAATCGTCAAAACATTCTGGTGTCTGAGCCAGAGTGTCATCGAATTGCGATGTAATGTAAACAGAAATTATAGCAAGCTGATGTCAGTCAGCTTAGATGGTCCAAGCCAAAATTATATCGCATTTGAAGTTTAAAACTGAGTTAAAAATAGTGGAAGAAAAGCCGTAATTATACTTATTGTTACAATCCATTTATAAAATGCAACATTTTCTTGTTTTAATGAAAAAATCAGTTATTTTCATGAGAACGATTTGTTATTTCATCTCAATTTTTTTAATCTCCAATCGCAATAACGTAAAGTATTATTAGCCGCGAACCAATGAGTCAAATTTAAGAAACAACCCACTGTTAGAAAGCTGAATGGCTACGCTTTAAAATGAATGTAAACTTTAACGTTTTCGTCTATTATTTGTTTAGCAATTTACATTTCAGTCGAGGATTGCGCTTTTTTTGATACACCCTGTATATATATATATATATATATATATATATATATATATATATATATATATATATATATATATATATATATATATATATATATATATATATATATATATATATATATATATTAAGGTGAAAATGTTCTCGAGTGTGTATTATATAATTTCCATACCCAGCGTAAGCAGAAAGATAAAGTCTGCCGCGGCTGGGTCTCGAACCCCCGACCTTCGAATTACTAGATCGACGCTCTACCAACTGAGCTACACGGTCAGACGGATTTAAGACTGGAAATTATGAAATATATACTGAATGTCATAAACATACTCGTTTATATTAATTCAGCATCGAACAATACTAGTTCTGCAAGTGTTATGTTGAGTTTTGTAATTCATAGTTAATATAGAAGACCGGGTTTGGAAGGCTGGGTCACGTGACGAAATATGTTGGATTTTCGGTCACGTGGAACATATAGTGCATTGCGTGCAAGATCGTAAACAATGGCCATAGTAATTCTATACAATGAGTGTCGAATTTATACCATGACATGCGAAGCGAAAAAAGCTGTTGGTTTGGCGATTTTTTTACAATGCCTCGAGCCAATTGCTCAATATTTGGTTGTGGAACAAGCAGAAAGCATGTTGGGCTCGGAATCTTTCGAATTCCGTCTGGCAAAGACGAATTATCAACTAGAGCTCGAGAGGCTTGGGTTAGGAAACATAATTACAAAGAATCGACATATGGACAAAAGTTTACGTCGTCAGATCGATATTAAAGGCGAGCTGCATGTTTTCGAGAAACATCCTAATATTGAAATACATTGATTGTCGTACGTGTATTCTTATTTTTTTCGTAAGCAATGAGCTAAAACTGTGCGAAAGAGGCAATAACGTGAGAACAACTTATATCTACCAGGCAAAACCAGGCAGTAATAAGATTGCCCAAACCTTTACTGGACTATCAATTAAAGAGACTGTAAATTCAGTTGTTGCCCTGACAAGGTTTTTGTTGAGCGAAGGACTTGAGTTTGTGCTCACAGAACGGTTCTGCCAGGATGATATATGATATTTAAGAGTATTTCGGTTTAATACCAGCGAGCACAAGGGAGAAGGAATGATATTTTACTGTAAAACCCAACAGCAGCTGACAATCCATTCAAGGAAATGTTTCAATTCTGGACGGCATTCTGGTATTAAAGCGAAGCAAGTGGTGTAAATGTGTAATGTCAGTGAGGAGTCATTGCCCAAAGAGAAGAACATAAAACAATCAAGAAATAGTGATCTTGAACATGTTACGAGAACAATAGTACAAGTAATGCAAAATATTTATCATTTTGCGAGAACTCTTGTAGTCTGTAGACATATTGAACATTTCTTATGAAGGTACTATTGTATTGTGCACAGTGCTACAAGTAAAATCATCTGGCATTACTGTAATAGACAGAGTAAAATAATAAAGTAGGGTGCATCTGGGTACATTGCCACTTAAAGGGTTAAATTTAGAGAATTTCCATGCTGTTAAAACAAATGAGCTAAAGCTCATTATAATTTTGCTTGATCTAGCTATGCATGATATAACTTTGAAGCAATTTAGTGCTGACACCAATATGTACTTCATGCCACAAAAATGACCTAATAGTTTACCTTGTTAAGAATTTTCAAAATTAACAGTACCTTAGAAGTGCTTAACCATTAAACACCAACACTCTACCCTTGACAAATAAAATTGTCTGGTGTTAAACAGAGTAAAATAGTCTGGCATTAGACAGAGTAAAGTAGAGCCCATCAGGGCACAATGTTACTGAATGGGTTAAGTAAATCATATCAGTGCTAAACAATAAATTGCAATGCAATGTGGGAAACATGCAGGACAAATATACCTAATGTTTATATTGATTCAAAATTGTGTGATATAAGCACTTTTAAGGTCTATTACCACTCCCATGAAGTGCTACAGTATATTAGTAAGATTATGCTTCATTATGAGTGGCTAAACAGCAATATTTGTCCCTGAATCAGTTAGCTTGGGGAGGATTGCTTATAAGCTGACCACAGTGAAAGGTGATGTAGCACTTCACAAGGAGTGTTAAATACTCATTCTTATCCAATCAGTATTTAAGTGTATCTCTTTCAAATAATGCTAGATTTACTCCATAATAATACCCTTTAATTAATTAAACTGAAATGTAGTAGTTAATTAGTGTACATATTTTTTCATCACTATATAAATATTTGCAATTAAAACCTACTAAAAAATATTTACATTTAGCATTCAGTTGCAATAAATATTTTAGTAACAATGTCTCGACCAACCTTGTATCCAGGATCTTTTCTTTTGGGGAGAAAAGACCCTGGTAGATGCTTGTCACATGACGTGCTAAAATCTCATAAAATTTAGCAGATTTTTAATTAACTATATTGGACTCCTTTACTTACGACAATCATACAAAATACATCTCATAAAATTAATTAAACTATAAAAATCATCCAAACATCAAATATTCATAAACCTCAGGTTGGATTGCTAATTTAGAAACCTGCTAGATTTCAGTAGATCATGTGATCATGCACTTCAAATGTGTCACATACCATGTGTGACAGCACAGTGATGACAGTGACTGGTTATGGTTTTTCAATACCCTAGATTATATTTAAGCTGGACATTTGGTCAAATGCAATAACATTTTAAAGACGTGATCTTAAAAAAACTAATGTACTTCTTTGGTGGCAAAAGGGTTCAAGGAATACATTTAATATTGATTAATTACATCACTTCACTAGTCACACATTATTTACAGTATCTTTGGCAAATGAAAACATCTAACAGTAACATATAACTTTACAATATTTTCTAAACACAGGAACTGACATTCTTTAGAGATTTCCATATCATAATTTGCAATAATATTGCACCACAAGCTTTTCACAAGGGAAGAAGCCAATACTTCATTCACTATTTTGTCTACTGGGAGACAAGTGACCTTGTCTTTATTCGTGTGCTTACTAAAAACTAACTCACTAACTTCCATTACACTTACAAGCCATAAATGAGTTGACCAAAGGCCACCACAACGATTAAATGTACTCATTGTCCTCTGTTGCAGTTCGCATTGAATACATCAAGGCTTGAATTTCTTTGTTTCTCTGGGAGTGCCACCTGGAACAATTTTTGCTTTTTCGATACAAAGATCTTATCGTGAGTTCATGACATAACCAGCCAAATAGGTCAATGGCCAAGCTTTTGTGATGATACAGAAACTTCTTCCTAAAATAAGTTAATAAAAACACAATAAATGCTAATACACTGGGTAAATTGAGCTACTATATTTCTACCCAGGTGTATTACTCTGGTCCATTACCTTTTGGAAACCAAGATGGTTGTGGGTACAAGGTAGTTGTATTTTAAAATTATTACATAATTTGAGGGAACTTTATATAGGTTTGACCAGTATTATATATTATACAATTTAAAGACCTTATTGAAATACACTACCTCCAGATATACACCATCTAGCTAGCTAGGTCAAACTAATAAATATAACTATGTCAGAAACTCAGAAAACAATTACCTCAGAGTCAAATGGTTGCTCAATCTTGTCAGGATAAGGATGAAAATATTGTTGCCAATGGGCGTTTGTATTGCCATAAAACCCCTAGCCTTTAGAAAGTTTTCTTTGCTCTTCTTTCTTTTAATTTATAATATAAAGCTTCACAAGGATTTGATGTTTTGTTAGACCACCCTTTGACTTGCAAATTTTCTCACAAACTTCGCAAGGGAATTGCTTATTTCCTTCAACCTAGATTCAAGTTAAATTATAGGTGAGGTTATTGAAAAGGCACGGCTTACTTTTATAAGTTATTTTGATATTTAACTCACCTCTTCATGAGAATTTTGAACCTCGATCATCACCACCTCGAAGTCCATATCAAGCATTAGCAAGAGTTTGCTCAAAATCGTCTTCAAAACCCGAACTATAGGCTCCATTGCCTTCATAAAATGGCAAAGAACTCTCTTCGTCCATCTCCATGTATTCAATGCCGCATGGCTCCATAGACGTCGTATGAGACGAGAAAATGGTGATTTTAGACAAACATCCCTCTATTTTCTATAAGTTTCTACTATGAATTGCAGCTCGAATGCACTATAAGCTGTCACGTGACGTACTTTGTAACATGGTATCCCATTTGGTCACGTGTTGCTTTGAAGTTTGCCGGCCTTCCAAACCCGGTCTTCTATATTAACTATGTGTAATTGTACACTCCGTAATATGTTAAAGTGAAAATGTTCTCGAGTGTGTATTATATAACTTCCATACCCGGCGTAAGCAGAAAGATAAAGCCTGCCGCGGCTGGGTCTTGAACCCGCGACCTTCGAATTACTAGAACGACGCTCTACCAACTGAGCTACATGGTCAGACGGATTTAAGACTGGAAATTATGAAAAAGGATAAGGAATAAGAACATTAAGAACATTTTCGCCTTAACATATTCGGAGTGTACAATTACACAACTCAACTAACACTTGCAGAACTAGTATTGTTCGATGCTGAATTAATATAAACGATTATGTTTATGACATTCAGTATATATTTCATAATTTCCAGTCTTAAATCCGTCTGACCGTGTAGCTCAGTTGGTAGAGCATCGATCTAGTAATTCGAAGGTCGCTTGTTCAAGACCCAGCCGCGGCAGACTTTATCTTTTTGCTTACGCTGGGTATGGAAATTATATAATACACACTCGAGAACATTTTCACCTTAACATATTAGTATATATATATATATATATATATATATATATATATATATATATATATATATATATATATATATATATATACACTGTTAATTTCAGGGTGTTAAAATAGCACCTCGGGTGGTGTTAGATTAACACCAACTGGTGGTGTTAAACAAAGGTGTTATTTTAGCACCATTTTTCGGTGCTAATTTAACACGACATAAATAAAAATATTTTGCAAAGTGTTAATTTAACACTCAAATTGTTTAACACCACTTTAGAGGTGTTAAAATAACACCCACTTAAGGACAGGTGATGTTAAAATAACACCGGTTTCTGGTGCTAAATTCTTGGTGTTAAAATAACACCATAAGTGGTGTTAAGAATTTGTATTCCCCAGTGTTAAATTAGCACTGTTTGTGGAGTGAGAACATGGGTGTTAAAATAACACCTTTTTGGTGGTGTCAAATTAGCACGCAGCACGAGTGTTAAAATAGCACCTTTTTGGTGGTGTTAAATTAGCACAGAGCACGGGTGTTAAAATAGCACCTTTTTGGTGGTGTTAAAACTGTTTGCATGTGCAGTTAGAATAACATATATTCTTCAACTAAAACACTTTTACAGTATAACACGGTCTATAAACACACGTTTTGAGCCTGGTCTACCGTCACAGGCTAGGGCTGGCCGATTACAGGTATTTCGCCAAATTAATTAATTGGCAAATATTTATCCGAATATTATTTACTGGTAGCATGAAACAGCCGCATATTAATTTACTGGCAAATTATAAACCATTTCACAAATGAAACATTTGAATTCAGAAGTTAATAACTAGACATAATAATAAATTAACAGAAATAGTTCCCAAGTCACATGCATGTGTCATGTATGTTTATGCATTTCATCATACAGATTGGAAACTGGCAAAATTGGACCTCAAAATTTCGCATTTCAAATATTATAACACGCTATAATTTGCAGCAGCAGTAACACAATATGAAGATAACACACAATGAGGCCGAAATATTTGAATATTCGCGCGCCGCATGATCGAGCTTTCAACCAATGAGGATAGCGCCGCCGTGAAATCTAATACCTTCTTCTCACATCAATACTGGCATTATAGTTTGTGGTCGTTTGTATGGGAATATATCTGCTATAATTGTGGTGCGAGGGTTCTATTAGGATTGCTTCTAAGTGTCAGTGCGATGGAAGCGATACAAACTGATTAAAATGGCTTTAGTATATTCATATTTCAAGCATAAAGATGGCTTTAAAACAGTGTGAGGAAGAAGCGAGCAAGGTTGCTGTTTGTATTTGAATAACAAAGGTCTGGCCGCCAATGCAATTCAAAACGTGTGGTTCACAGCGTCAATGCTTTAGAATTAGTTCGCCTGTAACTTCAAAGATGTGATAAACGTCGAAAGGAATAAGGTGAGTTGTTATAATAATGCGAGAATTATAATTATCACTTATTTACTGAGACCGAGGGAAACAGTGTGTTTTGTGGACCCGAGACCGTCGATGTTTCCCGAGGCGAAGCCGAGGGAAACATCGACGGTCGAGGGTCCACAAAACAAACTGCTTTCCCAAGGTCTCAGTAAATAAGTGTTTTATTATATATCAATAGTCAAAGAAACAACAAATTAAAGAACAAATGAACGTAAATACATGAAATATTTTATTGTTAAAACGTTATATTAAACACTGGCTACACTGCAGTTACTTAAAGCGAAAGTTTTAATTACGTACTAGGCATGTCCAAAGGTCGCATCTTCACGTGATGGCGCACGTGATTTTTTTGTTATTCGCCGGTCGATAACGTATTATGTCCCTCTCGCGCTTTTGCGAGGGAGACAGCCTAATTTCGTCACTCTCACGTGATATGCTCTCAACCAATAAAACACTAGAAAAATGCGACTTTGACTATTGATATATAATAATGATTGTTGTCTGCGATTGTCGTATTTATCGCCATTATGCTGAGACTATTCTCATTGCCATTGCAGTCTCAGTTAATAAAACTTACACGCGTTTTGATTTACAAGTACTGTAGTTTTGTCTGATTTATCTTGCGTTTACTGCTTTCATTTCAATTATAAAGACAAGTATTTTAGAACCTGAGGTGGAAAATCGGGAAATGGCTGTTAAATGCCCAACCTCAACTATATCATATACATATAGGAATGCAAGATTTTGTGCATTCTATTTAAATTACGCACAACAACACAGACCAACAATACTTTATTCATTAAATTTCAATGGCAAACCGAAACGGTAATGTTTTATATTGATTACTGAACGATGGAATTTATTTTATTAATACTGTCTGTGAGATGAGATACAGTATACACTACACAGCTGGACCTGAGCTGGTGTTTCATGAATATTTTTGCCAACTCGAATTTTATATTTGATTTTTAACCATTAAGCTGCAATGTTCCCAAATATACCTTATTTTATTGTTTTATTCTGGCTAACGCCAGACAATTTTTATCTAATTTGCCAAGGGGATCTTATACCGTAAACCTCCGACTATAAGCCCTGGGCTTATATACTTTCGTAAGCGATTTTTGATGGGCTTATACAAGGGGGGGGGTGTTATATACGGGGGGCTAATACATGGATGATCTTTTGTGTTAGTAATAACCAAATCAGACATAAACAAGTCAGTCATAAACAGGAAAATAAACATCCATTAATAACGTGCTTTGATTAATGTAACATATAGTCGGCTATAAAGACAATGACAATGTTTTTAAATATCGTTCTCTGCTATATTAAAAGACAATGAAAATGTTGAATAACGTAGTGGGCTACTGGGCTTATATTCGGGGGACTTATATTTGGGGGGCTTATATTTGGGTGTGCTTATGTTCGGGGGGGGGGGCTTATATTTGGAATGAATTGAGCATTAGTATATGTGGTGGGCTTATATTCCGGGGGGCTTATATTCGGGGGGAGGGCTTATAGTCGAGGGGGGCTTATAGTCGGAGGTTTACGGTATAATGACAGAGATAATTTTACCTATCATTGGGCTATCAATGGGAGAGTCCTGAGTATTAATATTTAAGAGTGAAAATATTGATTATGATATAATGTTCACATTATAAAATCCCCAAACATAATTCTATTTCTCAACCATGTCAAAAGATACACTAAACCTAATTATAAGTTCTTATTGCAACAGATTCTCATTTTAAAGTAGAATAATTGCCACATGTAGTGTTAAGGTGAGATAGCACATCTCTTATCCATCCAGGACAAATGACCCATTTGACACAGTTAACACTATAATGGGGGTAATTTTTCTTTCTTAAAATGGCAATGTATCGACATGATTTGTGCATACTCCTTTTGAAGTAATTAAAATTGCTACATGTAGTGTTAAGGTGAGATGGCACATCTCTTATCCTGTCATTGCATGTGATCAATGCTTATTTGTCTCAACAAAGAGATGGTTTGTGCTCTAGCTAGCTATCTCATTGACAATTAGATAACGAGTAGCGTAAAGCCAATCAGAATACAGCATTTGCATTAGAACTTGACAA